CATACATCATAAGCTATAAGCTCTAGAACACCACATAAGTAAATGATTACACGTTTCCTCTGCCTTTTGACAGCAGTAGCATCCGTTGACAATGATCCTACCCTTGTTTTTCAGTCTACCAAATTCTTTCCCAGCTCGCCTCCCACGCAAAGAAAGCAATTCGGGAAGGGATTTTTTTCTTCCAAATGAGCTTTGCTGGAAACACCCTTCTGTCAGCATCACCTTTATCATTTAAATATTTATAATATGAAGTAGAGAAAATTTTCCATTCTTTTCCAGTTTTCATACAACCTGATCTTCCCTGGTCGACACCTGCTGTGAATCAAGGAGCTGCAGCAAATCTTGAAACTCTTCAGTCTTCCAATCACTCAAATTCCGCTTTACATTAACACACCATACAATACTCCCATTTATAACCCGATAAGCCTCCTCAACTGTCATCTTATTTGATTGGGAAATATCATAAATTCTGGGAATCTCCTCCTTAAACAGCCATCACCAACCCAGTCATCCTCTCAAAAATTAATTTTGTTACCTCTTCCAGCCTTCCACTTTATACACAGCTTAAAGGGTTTCAACAGCATCAAAAATTTCCTCCACAGATTATGCCCGTGAGGAATTGTAATTCTGCCATCACTGCTACTGTTAAAATGTTCACCCCATCCTGTTTCAATAATCCTTCTCCGAAGTCTATTTTCTTCACTCCAGTACATCCATAATCATTTTCCTTGTTGGGCTTCATTCAATTTTACCAAGGAACGAATCCCCAATACCCCATAATCAAGGGGTACTTTGATGGCTTCCTAATTTGATTAAATGATATTAGCGTTCATCTATACCATCACTCCACAAAAACTTGCATTGAATACTTTCCAATCTTTTTGCCACCTTTACCAGAATAGTGATTGTAGATAAATAATAAATTGGTAAATTGGCCAAGGTGCTCTTGATTAAGGTATATCTTCCTCCTTTTGACAAAAAACCACTTTCCCAATCCAACAAGTCTTTTTTCAAACATATCAATGATCGGTTCTCATGTAGTTAGGTCCTTATATTTAGTACCCAATGGAACCCTAAGATACTTAAAAGGAAATTTGACTTCTTTGCAGCCCAAAATTCTAGCAAAAGGTCCAGCATCACCGTGTCCTCCTATTCTGGCCAATTCGGATTTGTTAAGGTTTATTTTGAATCCCGAAACCGCTTGAAAACGTAATAAAATACATTAGAAGTGTAAGAGATTCTTCAAATCTGGTTTGCAAAATATTAGGGTGTCATTCGCAAAGAACTAATGAGTCACCATCGTACTGTTGGTTGTGTTTTGATATTAACCTATCTTTAATTTATGGTGATGTTTCTGGAGCGCGATGCTAGAATTTTCCAAAATTATACTTTCTTCCTCCTTAACTTTGGACAGATTGGTTTCTTTTGCCTCCTTGTGGGCCAAGGCTCACAGGTTTCTGGGTGATGTCACTTTATCTATTTTACAGAGGAATTGGGATGTGGCACTGTTTTGATTTTTTTATTTCTTTCCTTCTTTTATGCTTTCTATTGGCTTAGGAGGGTTTCTTATCCTCTACTTTTGTAATTTTTCCTCTTCTATCTAATAATAGTTCTTTTTTCACTAAAAAAATGCTAATCGGTGTATACTTGCAGGTTGCAACAATGGGTAAAGAGGAGAAACCTTGATGCTCCTATTGAAGCAGATGCAGAACCAACAAGTGCAATAAGGTGTCCTCATGGGGAGCTTTTTCCTGAGCAAGCTGCTGGTGCTAAACGATTGCTGGTTCCTGAGAATCTCTGGCTCTTTTTGTATGAAGATGCAATTACAGTAAAATCTGATGATCCACTGGGCTGTTCAACTTTTCCTTCAGACTCTAGAGAGTGCGCCCAATGCAGTGATGAACTTTCTGAAGTAGCATGCATTGAGGATTCACTAAGGTCATTCAAATTAAATGTTTATTTTTAGTCTCCAAATAATATTATAACCTGGTTACTTGACTTCATTAATGGTGCAGAGCAGTAAAGCTTAAACAGCGACAAAATCATGAGAAATTGGCTGCAGGGAAGAGTATTCCCCTGTCTCCCAATTGCAAGTATTACTTGGTTCCTTCTCAATGGCTTGCTAAATGGAGAAGCTACATCAGTGCAAGTGGTAAAAATGCATCTTCAGTTGTGAAACCTGAAACTCTAGATGGCATCATTGGTTCACTAAAATGCGAAAAGGTGATTTGAAACTGTAGGCTTTTCTGTCTAATAATTTTATGGCTTCTTCTAGAAAGTTACCATTTTGAGGCAGGTAAATTATTTCGCTTGTTTTTCTGCATGTGGAAAAGCAGCATCATTGATGTAATATTTGTTTTCATACTTGGTTTTACCAGCATTTACGACTCCTGGAAAGGCCACCTGACCTGGTCCATAAACGTGGTTCAATCTATCAGAAGGGCCTGACAGTAAGTTCAAAATATTCATGTGATTCATTGAAGTGAATGTAGAATATTTAGTTCTGGTTCTATTTTTACCGGGTACCTTTTGTTCCTCGGTATATGAAGTCCTTAATTGGAAAAAATAAGATTCAATGAACCCATTTTTTTGCCAAGAAGATACTCAAATACGAGTCTGATGCCAGCTGTTTTCTTTCCTTCCTTTTTCCTTCCTCTTTTTCTCCCCATTTCTTTTTTATTCTAGACAGACAGGCTGACCATTGTTACGGGGAATGATTGGAAATGCTTCTGTGAAGAGTGGGATGGTTGTGAGGAAAATGGTGTATCTGCTATAATTGAGCTTAGCAACGTGGCAGAAAATAGTTTGGTTGGTTCCTGTCAAGATACACCAATGTCTGTGGAGCATCTTGCTGCTCCTGATGAAATAAATAATGACGCGGACTCTAAGCGACTTGTAGTCAGACTAATCCGGAGTAAGTAAAAGCATTAACTTGCTTTCTTTGCAGTTTTAAAACAGAACCTCCTTTCTCTCCTATGTAAACTAGTATGATGTAACAGACCATGATGTACACACCCTACATCGAATCAGATGTCATTACTTTCGAATT